TGTTCTCACCACAAGAAGAGGTAACAGGAAAGCTATATCTGTTACCTCTGCTTCAATAATATGACCACCGAAAGTTGTGGGGGAGGGCTTACAGGTATGGAAAGGTGTGAGAATGTCTGTAAAAGGAAGGTTGGGCGAGCTGAGAAACATCTACAGGATGTGCACAATGGCAAATGTTCTCACCGCAAGAAGAGATAACAGGAAATCTATATCTGTTACCTCTGCTTCAATAATATCACCACCGAAAGTTGTGGGGGAGGGCTTACAGGTATGGAAAGGTGTGAGAATGTCTGTAAAAGGAAGGTTGGGCGAGCTGAAAAACATCTACAGGATGTGCACAATGGCAAATGTTCTCACAGCAAGAAGAGATAACAGGAAATCTATATCTGTTACCTCTGCTTCAATAATATCACCACCGAAAGTTGTGGGGGAGGGCTTACAGGTATGGAAAGGTGTGAGAATGTCTGTAAAAGGAAGGTTGGGCGGGCTGAATAACATCTACAGGATGTGCACAATGGCAGGATTCTCTGACAAAGGCAATCATGCTTGGAAAGTAGAAAGCAGACCCAACTGGAGATAAGACTGCCTGCAGCCTGAAGGAAGCCACAACGACGGGTCTCTATAAGAGCTGAGCAGGGCCGTTAGAGATTTTGGAGGTCACTCATTTTATATGGGCCAGAAGCAGCTTGAAGAGCAAGTCAAATGTTAGAAAGAGTAAAAAGCCTATTTTTCAACTACTGTAAAAAAAAGGGTGGGATGGCGAACGAACCACTCAGCCTGTGTTCTCTCCCTCCGGCCTCCTCGCGAGGAGGAGGCGGAACGGTCATCAAGGGCAGGCGACAGCCGCCGGGGAGCAGCATCGCCCGCCAGCTTCGCGCTCAGAAGAGAACACTTTGCCTCCTCCTCGTGGTTCGCTCGGCCGTTCACTTTCGGATGCACTTCTCTAGTAGCGGACTATAGAAATGATCCCTGAAAGTATAGTCTTAACGAGAGATAGTCCGCGCAGAGAACCAAACCGGCGCCCGCGCCTTTCCACCTGAGAGCGACGGCCGGGTCCTGGCAAAGACCTCCTCCGCCCTGCCCGCCGCCCCGCCACCGTCCTCCGGCTTGGATCGCTCAGCACACTATGCCTCCTCGTTTGAGCCGCTTCCCTCCCGCCCGCGATGCCCCCCAGGTGAAATTAATAAACTTGTAATTTGCTCCCAAGCAAATCCCTTTGAAGCTACGCGCGGGACCCGCCTCCGCCGCCCGGGTGTGGCAGCTCACAGCGACCGATTTCCTCCAGCCAGCTCATCGCTGCCTGCCTAGGTTCGCGTCTTTCCTGATGGCTTGTCAAAAGTAGCAGAAGACTAGCCGTCCGAGTCTACGATACTTACTATACTTACTACAGTAAAGTCCAGTACATGGCGCTAACCTGCAAGTCTGGCAACCTTTTTAGACATGTTCTCTGAAAGAATAAGTGCATGGAAGCAGAAAGACATTTATGACATCTGTTCTTATCACAAAAGTAAAGCAATGCTGCCCTGGTTCCCATTTTAACTGGGTGCTTCTTTCTGATTTTGCAAACAGGGTGCACCAGAAAAAGCGCTGCTGCACTCCCAAGGAAGGATGCGATTTGAAGCCCTCTTATTTGAGAAGATGATCCAATCATCTTCACAGCCTCTACTTCCAACTCAGCATGTCCAGCTCCTTTACCAAGAAGGAAAACACAAACAAACCAGCACACAAATCCTAACCCAATGAAATGAACCGCAGTGCATGTGATAAGATTTACTCCCATGTCAACCTGGCACTAGCGTGATTTAATCCACAACAAACAACCTATTGCAACTTCAGTGTCTGGATATACAACAGAAATGCAAACACTATACCCTCCTGTTTTGGCATCTTTGATCTTTTGAGGCACACTGCTCTTGTACATGGAAGCTCTCTTACAGCCAATATATCTAGCAATACCTCCACCCTCTTTTGCACCTCTCAAATGCCCAAACCAAGTTTTCATAAAAGGGATGAGACAACACAACAAGGCACATATTTGTTTTCTTGGCACTTGCAAAATTTGCAATTCAGGTGAAACCAAGAGACAAAGGATCACCAACTCTCTGCACCAAAGCAATCTTTTTAGGGTGCCAATTACACTTTGCAATGATCAAAACACATTTCTAATGCAATCCCTTGCAATCAAAGATGCAAAAATATTAATATTCGCCTTCCTTCCAAGGCCACCCCTTACCCTTTTTCAGCAGCTTCTTCACTTTCACATAATTCCCTTGCCTCACATATTCGTGTAACCGAGCTTCCAGGGAGTCATTTTTCACCTTGCCAAGCTCCACTGGGCAGGGAACGGGGACCCTATGGGCCATTCTCCTTAGGGGACGAGAAAGATGAGGAAAATAAGATGTTAGAATTGTGTGATATTTCCTCTTTTTCATTCCCTCCCTCCCATATAGCACATGGATCTACTTCTAATTGCAAAATTAAACCACCTTGGGTTCTGTACCGGAGAAAGGGGGGGTAAATACATACTGTACATATATACATATATATACAGTACATATGCACTATACACACACGCATATACATATACAGCCCTAAAGCCTGCCTTATACCCACCTTCTTGGGAAGGGATAAAACCGCATTAAATATTGTCTTGACTGATATGAGAAGCTGCCTTGGTCTTTCATAAGGAGAAAGGCAGGGTAAAAGTATTTTAAATAAATAAAAAATACTAATAAAGCAGGAAAATGGGGCAAATATTTTGAAGACAGCCAGGTTTATACTCCCACACTCTTTTACATTTATTTCCAAGCCAATTTAATGAACAAATTGATTAATCAAACTGTAGATGCCATTTTAAATATCTCACTATATCCATATTTTTCGGTTGTTTGAAATGACAGGGCCAAGTCCTTAAGAGCTGAATATTGACTGATGGCTTCTTTTTTGTAAAGCATTTCATATTTATTTATTTATTTATTTATTTATTTATTTATTGGACTTATATACCGCCCCATAGTGCTACAAGCACTCTCCGGGCGGTTTACAATTTTAATTATA